ACGATTTCCAGATTGTACGCACTTGTGAGAGTGATTTGCGATCTCACATTTTCTAATCGCTAATTCGTGGTTTTCACGGACGAAATTCTCACTTACAGGGATGGCGCACTCGACATTTATCGAATTTAACGTCTTTAAATAATAATTTGCCTACTTCAAAGTTTCTTTAAGGGTATACAACATATTAAACCCGTTTAACAAAAGGTTAAGTTAGATTCCGACCCATATTTCGTTTAACAATATTGCATACAGCGCCATTTCCCTCCCTGGTGGTGAGGTTTCGAACTTCCTTTTTTTTCGCGGAAAATAAATTCCCATGACCTCCTTTACACGATTTCCAAGTTTGATAACATTTGATCCAGTAGTTTTCCTTTTATGACCGTTTCAATGTGGAACTTTAAATATAACCACACTCTATATTATTAAATTTTAATTTGAAGCTATGCGTTATATGTATACCATGCGTAAAATTTTCGCGTTTAATGAAAAATAAGAAATCGAAGCAAAATATACTTAGGTATAATGGACCAAAACTGAAAAACATTTCCCCTCCCTCCGAAAATAAAATATTGAAATTTCGAACTTGAATTTATTGGGTTATCGAAATATTTAATTTGACTTATCTTCTAAGTCCTAGTTCCGACAACAACAATTCCGTCAAAAATTCCGAATTACTTAAGCTGAAGTAAAAGATTTAGTATATTTTCACGGTAGGTTAATAAAGTAATCAGAGTGTAATGAAAATAGATTATAGAATTTACGCTGATGCGACGTTTTGTCTGACTGCGCAACATATAAGGGAAGAGAAAGGCTTGTAGAGATCTCTTTTTGACATGCCTCTAAAAGTAGATGTCATACTCCTTTTGTCTCTTCAATGTCAAAAAACTTTCCTTTGAGAGGCAACTTTAGTTTTTGAAAAAGAAAAAAAATCACAAGAAGACAAATTTGAAGAATATGCAGGACGAATGAATATACATATTTATTTTCCGGAACACAAGCGGTTCTCCGACTGGTTATTGAATAATGAAAAGATGCATTGTCATGCAATACAAAACATTTGGAATACGTTTTCTGACTGAAAACGTAAGATTAAAAGGTCATCTGCTTAATTCACAGCCATTTACAAGTCAACTACTCGGGCAATTGCAGAATCGTTTTGATCCTGAGCTTGTAAGACAAACCTAATATCACTGGATTTAAACACTTCTTTAATCTTCCGAGAACGTTCCTTCTTTAGCTCATATTCCAAGAATATTAAGAGTGAATACAATTATTTCCAAAGAAATTGAATATTCATTTGCACTACAGCTTGGTAGTTTACTAACGAGTTAACAAAACTTAAATTCTGCTTTTTGTGTCAAAGAATACAACAATATTTTAAATATTTACAAATAAAATATTAAATTGGAGATTTAATTGGAGCCTCATCAGTTGCCTAGCATTTGAAAAAGAAAATATCGTTAAATACTAATTGTTTGCTTGCGAAGTTAAACCCAGGCTGCATGGTTGGTTTTCGTAGTTTTTTAGGTTCTCTTTACAAAGATTCTCTATGAAAGCATCTTAATCAAATAGCTCCCATGTTCTTTCTATGTTCAAATAACCAACTAACCTAGTTTAAGCGCGATTTCCAAGTGAAGTTACTAGTGAAATCCGAATACTCATTAAAAACCCTGTAGCTAGCCAATCGGGAGTAACATGAAAGATACGGAACCAATAATTGAAATGTTGTTACGGTACGCTGTTTCTTAATGGTCATTTCTTAATGTTTCTTAATGGGTTCTTAGATGGTCATTCCTTAATTAAATAGCCCACCAACAGCCGAGCGGTAAAGACGCTGAACACTGGTAGTTCGGTTCGAGTTTCGAATCCCGCGAACGGGCTGGCCGCATGGGCGGTTTCGTGGTTTTCCCCATGTGTAACGTGTATACGAGCCAGTTTCCCTTAGAACGTCCTCCACGAAGGCATCCCTTCCTTTAGGCAGATAGCCCTCGTGTGCTTTGCCATAATTAAATAATCCAATTCAATCCTTAATTAAATATAATTGATTTGTAAATTCTACTAGAACTGACGGTAAAATTGAAGTGGAAATAAGTAATATGGTGTGCAATCTTGATTAATAAAATTAAAATATTTGCATAGAAAAATTTTGCATTCAGACAAAGTTTTTTGAAATATTTGCAATTACTTTATAAGAAGGATTTATTAATAACCAGTAATAATTACTTATTATATTACTGATGATTAGGATTCAGTTCTTGACAATTACATTCTAAATTAGAATTTTAAGGATATAATGAAAATACGCTACGCCCAAAAATACATTTTAGGAAAAAATGAGTTGATTTTTTATTTTATGCTTTAAAACTTCTTAATTCATTTAGTAAACATCGTATCCTCGTTCGTTGTTAATTGAATCCAGAATGTTTGGTGTCGTTTATATAATTATTCTTACTTGTCCACAGAAGCTGCTGACTTATCCAGCCATTAAGTAGCTGCAGATCATTTCTACATAACCATTGAACTTCCACTAATTCAGTCTCTAGAGGGTTGTATGTTTATATCATAATTTGACTTTTATAAATAAATGATTATTCTAAATCTTATGTTTCTATAAAAATATACTGTGCTTTAAAAATATGGATAATAGTATCAGCCGCTCTTTCAGCCACTTCAAAAGCAACAGTTTGTTTTTAGAAATAAATTATGCAGTTAATGTCATAAAATTCAAATAAATATCAAACGAAAATTCTCAGTTTTAGACAATTCGATTTAAACGAAGTAAAGTAGCAGACGATAAAACGCCGCCGAAGGTAAAAATTTACTCTTACAAAAACTTACTCTTAAATTTTTTAAAAAAAAGAAAAGATACGAGACAAATTAAAAAAAATAGTTAAAATTTTGAATAATATCATCTATAATTTAAAAAAATAGCCTTTTCATATAGTATTAATAAATATTTATTACGCATCATTGAGGGAAAAAATGTCATATAATTAATTCTCCGTAAAATTTACTTGAAGTTTAAGGTTAAAAATAGCTGTGGCAATTACAGTGTAACAAAAATCCATAGACCACATTTGGCGTTATTATCGCTCAAAAAAAAGGTGCCAAATTTCAAAACGCGAAAATATGTAAATTCGTGTATATCTTAGAAAATTTTGAGTAAAAAAGTCTAATTTTTTGCAGATATGCTTAAAATTACACCTACTTTAAGATGATGGTAAAAATTTTATAGGTTATAATTCAAAATGTTTTTCGAAAAATCTATAGAAATTCTTTAAAAATAAAAATTTAAAAAATAAAACGCAAAAAATGAGTAAATTTTATTTGGAATGAACCAAAATTTCGAAATGTGAGAGAAAAAATCAAAAAAGTTTAATAAAAAAAGAGATATTAATAAATATTTGCCAAATTCAATTAACATTGAGGAGCTAAAATTTTGAGAGCTAATATTTTAAAAACTAATCGTACGATTTTTTACAAAACTTGGTATTCTGGCATAATTTGAGTCGTAGAATCGAAATATGTAAAAAAATTGGTATGTTATTTCAGAAAAAGTCCGATTTTGTGTCAAAATACCTATGTTAGAATAGTACTATATATAAATCTAATATATATCCTAAGTCGCGCTTTCGAGACATGAAAAACGTAGTTTGAATTTTGTCATTCGCCCCAGTAGAACGGGAGATATAGCACTGTCCCATTTTTTTTTTTTGAGCAGTGTACCTTTCAGTAATTTCGAGAAATGGAAGGTGTAAGAAATTTTATGTGGAAATACATTTTAATCGCCAAAGGATGTTTATTTGTTTAATATTAAATTAATCAAAGAAATGTTATTTGTTTAATATTATCTTGAGTTATAGAAATTCTTGATTTAAATTCCTGATGCTTGAACAGGAATGTTATAACAATAATTCTTGATAAATGAAAATTTACTTGATATTCTTGAAATATATGATTAAGTTTTACATGTTCTTGATGTTTATGTGACATTTCTTGATTATAAAAACTTGAATTTGTATTGAAATGCATAATGATTCGTGAAATTAATTCTTGAAAATGTTGATGTATCACTGATAATCTCGATTCTTCTGAACTACAGCTCAGCCGGGCCCAGTGTGTAAGAAATTTTATGTGGAAATATATTTTAATTGCCAAAGAGGGCATAAATCTTTCATGATGTATACTTCTTGTTCTTGGATCTTGCAGCGCCAGTTGAATGCGTGTTAGACTTGAATAAACTTGGAAGTTTTGAAACCTGATTCGTAATGTTCATTTACCTTTGTGATGTTATGTGTGATTTGAATTAATGTTTCTTGAACCAGGATAACTGGAAATCTTGACGGTTATTATATTATTTTACAGAAGGAGCTGGAAATTCCTCGGCTGTTATAAAGCCAGAAAGCGCATTAGCTCTCAATTTAGTGCGAGTGTGCTTGAGTGTTGAATTCGAAGTACTGAGAGATCTTCATGCCTGCTTCGCTCTTTAATTGCGCTTTGCAGTGCGTTGTGCTTAGCATTCTTAGCAGTTTAAGTTTGTAACTACTGATTGTGCTCTCTCGTACTGCGAAGAGTACTTTGTTAAAAGTAAAGTGTTTCTTTTGGGAAAATAAATTTTATCAAGTTATTATCGTTTCTGTGTGCATTTAGTTCTTACTAACCCGTACGTACGCCAACAATATAAATTGCAAATAAATAGTCTTTGCTTCCTTCCTAGGTTTTCTCTTTATTTAGCTGCTGATAGGTATAGGATCCGCTGTTTTGTCTTCCTTTATCTAACATACTAGTGTAATATATATTGAAATGTTAGTGGTATGCCGAGACAGTCATGAAAACTATCTGAAGTACGAAATCTAAGAAACTTAATTCAGACATAGAATCCCATCTGTATTTCAGTTTCTTAAATTGTGTTCAAGTTGTTTAAGATTCTTGCATTTTCCAAAAGATTCCTAATGCTTTCAGATATGAAACCACAGTATATTTCCTTTTGCTGTTTTCAGGTGTTCGTGCATAGGAGTGATTTAACGGAACTCCACAAACATGTGCCACCTGAACTGCTTCCAGAGGAACTAGGAGGAACGTTAGGACCTCTAAACAATCAAGACTATATGGAATATTTTCTTAATCAGGAAGATTATATTGAACAGATAAACAACAGTGGAATTAAATGAATTTATCTTCTAACTGGACAAAGTTACTTTCATGCATGTAGAAGGAAAAAGGAATTATTTCATGTGATATCTACAGACTGAAATCCCTAGATGAAGCTTATATGTATTATTTATTTTTATATATTAGACATAAAAATCGCATTAGTGTAGTCATTAAGCAATCAGATTGTATTTGAAATAATGTTGCAAGATGTTCTGAAGGTTGATTGCAACATTTCTTGAATTAGTTTCAAAAATAAAACATTCTTTACATTTGTCTTTTTCAAAAAGTATTAGCTTTGTCAATTCAAAATGCATTAAAATGTTAAATATATTGAATAAAAAATCGATTTTATTCTTGAAACTAAATAATCAAGAATAAATAACACATTTCCTATGAATAAATAACACATTTCCTCAGACATTTTCAATATACATTTTAAGAAACTGGATATTCAAATTATTTTATAAACACTTTTTCTGGTGTATGCTCTGTTGTGACTTACTACATTAAATGCCATGCTGGGCACTTTCATACAATCAGAAGAAAAGGAATGATAATGTGACTTTGCTTCCATACTGTATACCTATTATTTTCTTGTAATTGCACGTACCCTATTAATATTGTATATAGTTTAATTACTACGTTATGTTCAAACATTCTCGCAATTTACAAAAATGACCAGTAATGGCTGTTAATAACACCTTTGCCGGGTCCAAAATTTTCTGACTGTAATCCTGCTGCTGATTCGTTGACAGCACTAACACCAACATCAGATGGAAAATGAAATCTTGTTCATTCTTTTGTCTCTCCTCTCAATCAATAGATGGCGCCACCTTCTCAACCAGTTTTTTTTTTTTTTTTTTTTTTTTTTTTCCCCCGGTTTCTCCATATTTTTCCCAAGTCAGCTTTACCGAAAACTATGTGATTTTCTCCGTGTGTTTCTTTTTTTAGTAAGATGTCCTACCTTGGGATCCACACAAGTTACCTCAACAGAAGGCCCAATGTGAAATCAATTTAGGTTACAGGGATCGGCTGCAGTAGAAACTCTGTATGACACCTCTTGTATCTCAGTAAGAAAATGTTTCACGGTAACTAAGAGATGATAAACAAAGCAATACAAACAGGTCAATTCAGAATATTTAGGTTAATATAGCTATTCTCTTCAACTATGTTTTGGGCCCATCAATAGCCGAGAGGGTAAGAGTTTGCAGATTACTGTTAATTCGTTCCTGAGCACGTCCCAATAGCCGAACAGAACCACTGAGCTGGACTGTCGCTGCTTTTACAACTCAACCATTTTAACATTTGTTTACATTAGTGTACACACTGCCGCATTTGCTCACAAGGGATGATTCATGGAGATAGACTTTGGTCTTAAATCAGCTAGGTCTTGTTTATTTCATCATAATAATACACTCATGTCCATAAATTAAGGATAATGCAAAATCAGGAGAAAGGAAGAGTTAGAAGCAAAACAAATTTGACTTATTTGTAAAGCTTATTTATTAAACAAAAGGTAAAGAGCAAAAAAAGATGCTATATGTTTGATATTATTAAAAAAAATTAGCGATTTTTTATCCCTGGAGCAAATTACAAAAAAAAACCTATTTACAAAAAACCAATATTACATGATCGGTATGATTGTTAATACATTGTATGTCTCCCAGACGATGCAATACAGTCCGTACAACGCCTAGGCATGCTGAGTATCAAATTATCGATCTGATCTTGGGGGATATTACACCACTCAAAAAGCAATGCTCTCCGAAGTTCCGGTAGACATGTAGGAGGAGGTTGACGGGCTGCAACTCGTCGGCCAAGCATGTCCCACATATGCTCTACTGGATTCAAGTCCGGTGAGAATGCTGGCCAGTCCATACGGGTGATATCCTCCGATTGAAGGCATTCGCTTACGATGTTTGCACGGTGAGGACGGGCGTTGTCATCCATAAACACAAATTGTGCGCCCATGGCGCCCCGAAACAAACGTACATGTTGTTCCAGAATGACGTCTTGATAGATTTGGCTTGTCATGGTTCCAATTTGAACATGCAGGTCAGTTCTGGAACCCAGAATAATTCCACCCCAAACGAGCACTCCTGCACCACCGTAACGGTGTCGTTCAATGATGTTTTCTTGGTGGTAACGGGTACCTGGAGCTCTCCATATTAATGTCCGGCGAGAATCAGACTGCAAGCTAAACCTGGACTCGTCGGAAAACATCACACAAGCCCACTGTTGCGGTGTCCACAATGCATGCTCTCTACTCCAGGCTAACCGCAGGCGACAGTGAGTTGCAGTAAGTGGAACGCATCTGACAGGTCTACGAGCATATAGACCAATCTGCCCTAAGCGTCTGTACACGGTCTGCCTTGAAATTGTCGTACCAGTGGCTGAGGAGAGCTGACGAGACAGGTCTGAGGCTGTGCTCCGCCTGTTTCTTTTGGCAGTAACTGCCAAATACCGGTCCTCATTCGGCGTTGTAACTCTGGGGCGACCTGTGCTGTAACGTCTACTCACATTACCATCATCTTGGAATCGTTGCCAAAGCCCGGAGATGACACTCTGGGCAATTCCAAGTTCGTCTTATACTTCCAGTTGGGTACGCCCGCATTCCAGATGGTCGATAATTCTACCACGTAAAAAATCATCCAAATGCGTCCTTTGTGTCATAACTATTCGGTTATTGCACTGAAATGCTTATGAAGCGTCTGCGAACAATTTTACTTCTTTGCCTGTATTCCTCATATATCACTCTCTTACACTCTCGTCATTGTGACGTACCATCGGTGTCATGTGGTTACTTCCTGAAATTTGCATATGATTCTTGAAGATGTGTGTAGTGATTTTTACAGGTGATATATTTATTTTAGAGTTCGATTTCCGGGTGACTCCGAATTATCCTTAATTTATGGACATGAGTGTAAATACATCCTAACTAAGGACAGTATATTTAAATTCTCAAAAAGTTTTAAAATGCTTTCTTTACATGTCCAGTCTTTGTCAAATCATAAATTTCCAGGAAATCTTCCAAACACAATGCATGTATTTTGACAATGGAATACCATAAAAGTGAAAATAAAAAATCTGATATGGACGGCCCATGACTTCCCTGTACGGCATATTCATTTATACATATTTTTGATGCACTTCATTTAAATTTATATCCTAGAATGATTCTAAATAAATTAACAGATCCCTCTAGGTGTGTTGAAAATGCCATCAAAAATTTCAGATTTAGAAATTAAATATCGTGTTTAATTTTTCTTGCACGAGGGGCAATAATAATCTTATAATTTAATTTTTCTTAACGAGGTAACTTTCCCAAATATAAGTATAGGAACGAGGAGATAGCATTAAAAGCTACATTTCGCTATTCATCAAAAATTAATTTTTCTTCAAAATTGGACATTACCAAAATATGAATATCTTCGTTATTTGAAACACTTGTGTAACTGGAAGTATATGACTACCTCCAACAATTATGAAAAAAAGACTCAATTAGGACTTTGAAGCCGGGTATATTGCAAAACATTACCTTAAGAGGCTGGGTATATACATGTATATGTATATGTACACTGCTCAAAAAAAAATGGGACAGTGCTATATCTCCCGTTCTACTGGGCCGATTGACAAAATTCAAACTGCGTTTTTCATGTCTCGAAAGCGCGACTTAGGATATATATTAGATTTATATATAGCACTATTCTAACATAGGTATTTTGACACAAATCGGACTTTTTCTGAAATAACATACCAATTTTTTTACATATTTCGATTCTACGACTCAAATTATGCCAGAATACCAAGTTTTGTAAAAATCGTACGAGTAGTTTTTAAAATATTAGCTCTCAAAATTTTAGCTCCTCAATGTTAATTGAATTTGGCAAATATTTATTAACATCTCTTTTTTTATTAAACGTTTTTGATTTTTCCTTTCACATTTCGAAACTTAAGTTCATTCCAAATAAAATTTACCCATTTTTTGTGTTTTATTTTAAAATTTCTATTTTTAAATAATTTTTATAAATTTTTCGAAAAAAATTTTGAATTATAACCTATAAAATTTTACCATCATCTTAAAGTAGGTTGTAATTTTAAGCATATCTGCAAAAAATTAGACTTTTTTATTCAAAAAAATGTTCTAAGATACACGAATTTACATATTTTCGCGTTTTTGAAATTTGGCATCTTTTTTTTTGAGCGATAATAACGCCAAATGTGGTTATGGATTTTGTACAGTGAATTGCCACAGCTATTTTTTAACCTTAAACTTCAAGTAAAATTTTACGGAGAATTAATTATATGACATTTTTTCCCTCAATGATGCGTAATAAATATTTATTAATACTATATGAAAGGCTATTTTTTTAAATTATAGATGATATTATTCAAATTTTTAACTATTTTTTTAATTTGTCTCGTATCTTTTCTTTTTTAAAAAATTTAAGAGTAAGTTTTTGTAAGAGTAAATTTTACCTTCGGCGTTTTATCGTCTGCTACTACTTTACTTCGCTTAATTCGAATTGTCTAAAACTGAGAATTTTCATTTGATGTTTATTTGAATTTTATGAAAAATTTATGACATTAACTGCATATTTATTTCTAAAAAACTGTTGCTTATGAAGTGGCTGAAAGAGCGGCTATACTATCATCCATATTTTTAAATCACGGGTATTTTATAGAAATAAACGATTTAGAATAATCATTTTTATAAAAAGTCAAATTATGATATAAAACATACAACCTCTAGAGACTGAATTAATGAAAGTTCAGTGGTTATGTAGAAATGATCTGCAGCTACTTAATGGCTGGATAAGTCAGCAGGTTCTGCGGACAATCCTTAAAATTCTAATTTAGAATGTAATTGTCAATAACTGAATCCTGATCATCAGAGTATAATAAGTAATTATTACGGTATTTATAATCCTTCTTATAAAGTAACTGCAAATATTTCAAAAAACTTTCTGCCTGAATGCAAATATTTTTAATTTTATATTAATCAAGATTGCACACGATATTATTTATTTACACTTCAATTCTTACCGTCAGCTCTAGTAGAAGTTACAAATCAATTTTATTGAATTAAGGATTGGATTGTTTAATTATGGCAAAGCACACGAGGGTTATCTGCCTAAAGGGAGGGATTCCTTCGTGGAGGACTTTCTAAGGGAAACTGGCTCGTATACACGTTACACATGGGGAAAACCAAGAAAACGGCCATGCAGCC